CTTTCTCATTTATTCACTCTTTTTCCATTCACCTCTCATTTCCACCTTTCCATTTCATTTTACTTTTATACAAATCTGCTCAAGTCACAAATCCTTCAAAGTAAATACGTGAGTAGATGGCAAGTGCTCTGGTGTGGTTTGATTTTCCTTTATTATCAAACATATATCGTCGTTATCTCTCTTTTCTTCTGTTTTGTGTATACATATTACTTGTAATACCTCTAATATTTAGCACTTATATTACCTAATTGTGTTGCAAGTGCCGTGAAACTCTTACTAAACGAAAGTAGATCAAGTAACGGTGTCTGATGTTTGCATTTATCATTAGACCACATAATTATTATTTGCGACAGAGAAAGAGTTCACATACTGAGAGGGTTACAACATTCCAGCAGACAAAGAGGCTCGATAAAAGTTCTGCAACGGGAATGGAACTCATAAAGTCCCAATTCGGCTCAAAATTATGGAATTTGATTTGTAGGCATTTTTAGCTTCCGCAGCGCCTCTCTTACAACTATTCCATTGCATAAGAACACCTTAAAGCCTAATTTTCCCCTGTACAGGCATGTTTGTCACCACCATTTTCTCATAAAATCAATCTTTTATTTTTCTTTTTCAGCCGTTTTCTGAAAACGCGATTTTCTCCTTACTTTATTGAATAACTCGACAATTTTTCATCTAATCTTCCTGAAATTTTCACAGAATGAAGAGAAGAGGTAATACTAAAATTTTGTCTGTTGAATTTTTGATATACGGAATAGATTTTTGTTGGTGGTTTCCGGAGTGTGGATTTCTACGGATTTTTCACAAACTTGAATACTACCTCAGGAAAAAATTCATTAAAACATGTCTAATTCGTTTAGGAAAAAAACCAGCATCCAGATTTTTAGATCTAATGTTAGCTAACATGCATGCAAAAAAAACACACAACAAAAAACAATCAATTTCCATAAAAAATAAGTACAGTAAGACATGTCAACAAAATCCAATATGGCCGCCGTATCCATGGAAACGAACCTTTTTTTTCCTCAAATTTGAGAGCCGATTTTAAAACTCCTTACTATGCTTGTTATGTGTGCCAAATTTGGTAAAATTTGGTCCACTAAATAGCGAGATAGTCTTCAGGTGTAGCCCCCCCCCCCCCCCCCCCCCCACGAAACTTAACCCTTGAGTCTTGCCAACTCATTGTTTGACAACTGACGAAGAACATATTTTATAACTTGATGACTTGGAATGTTTGCTTGAGCCAGTTTCTGGCTCTTAAATTCTATTAAGTGTTCTAACATGCTCAAACATTTGTATTTGGGGTAATTTTGGCGAAGACACATAACATTAGCTTATAATATTTTTTTAAAAGAAGAAAACGGAAAATCTGTCTCGCTCACTCAATCTCCTTCTTCCACTACTCCTGACTCAAACTCGGTAAGGGGGCTCTCGTGGCCTAGAGGTTAAGGTGTTGGCCTCTCATTCAAAGGTCCCGGGTTCGAATCCGGGTAGCGACCGAAAAATTTTCTTCTCTAAAATTGTCTCCTTTCACCTTCTTTCCTGCTCTCTAGCAATATTCTGTCGTCTGCTTTCGTCTCCTCTTTCTGCCCCCACCCCCTCACCTTCCTTGCCCCCTCCTCTGGGCTCCTGGCTCTTTCTGCAGCCTTTCTACTGCTACTCCTTGACTCCTTCTTACAGCTGTCTTTCTACCACACCCCTGATCTCCTGGTAGGAAAGATCTACACCTAGCCTTCTCGGACAAGAGCGAAAAATCTCGGAGGGCCCGTGTGCAAGTTGCGCACGTTATAGATCCCTTGGTGGTCTAAAATCGATAAGAGTAGACTTCGGCCGCCACCCGGGCAAAATTCAAAATTTCCTACCAACGAAAAAGTATTAGGTGTGTCCCGCGCGCTCATATGACCTTATGCAGTTGTGAGCGCCGTAAAATCCTATACTAAACAAACATAAACAAACAAACAAAGTCGGTAATACAGAGTGCCTTGTCTTCCCGGATAAGGAAGGAAAGTCTCGGAGGGCCAGTGTACTCGTTGCACCCTTTCAAGATCTCATGTGGCAGTTAAAAATGCAGTAAAATAGGTCGTTAGTCTCCACCGAGGCAAAATTCAAAAGTTAAAAATTCTCTTCCATGTAACACAATATCCTTATCACAAACGTGCAATGACAAGACACCCTTTACATTACACCTTCTTTGGTTCCAAAAGTATTGACCATGTCTCTCCTTTGGAGTTGGAGCATAGTAATCACGTTAGTCACGTTCTGAAGGGAGGGAAGTAGTACTTGGATAATCTACTTTCTTTATGACTACTGCCCAGGCAAAGCTTATCATGCATACTGCTGTTATATTGCCTGTTAAATAGCAAAAGGTCATAACATACCATCCCGTTTTACCTTTATAACTAATTATCTACACGTTTAAGTTTGAGCATCTGTCCACGTGGTGGTGGCCATTTATATTTTCTTTAATTAAGCGTTTTACAACATTAGCGGCACAAATAGGTCATATACAAGGGCCAACAATTAGAGGTGTTGTTGAAGAGTAAAAAAAAAAGAAAAAAAAAGTAGGACGAGAGATAAAAATGGTACATGTAGATGTTTGATAGGTAAGAAGGATCAAACCACACCAGAGCACCTTTCAGCCACCCACGCTACCATTTAAAACACAGAAAAAGCAACCACCTGCCATCGAAATTTTTTTTTTTTTAAATCCAGACCACACTACTGAATTAAAAAAGTGCTAACGGCTTCTGTTTCGATAATTAGTGGGTTATATTCGAAATACGTTCGGTCTTTAAAGTACGGCCATGCACCTTAAAGTTCGAGATGGGCGTTAAGGAACTTGATTCCAATTCAACACTTTCTAAAAAGACATTCTAGTAGGTTCATTGGTCTGAATGATTCCGGATTTTACCACTTGAATAGTGCCTGGTTTCTGGTTTGACCCAAAGGTGCTTTCATTGTAGTGAAATGCAGTTTACATCGAGCTATCTCGATATAGCTTCCATTTCATTATCAACATACTGTCGCAACAACTGCAACCCGAGTCTCTTTCCACATATCAGGCTTTTTTCTTCGAGGCGTACAGTGGAACCTGCTCCTACGACCTCCCATCCGAGGCGATTACTTGTAAAGTAAAAATAACCATTTCTTATCTCCCCCCCCCCCAAAAAAAAAACAAAGAAAGAAAAGAAATAAAATTGAGTTTTGTTTCATACAATATACTGACACTGTCTAAGAGAATGAATGACCTGTCTTAAATGAGTACTTTTCTGTTGGACAATGGGTGATCGTCTTAAGCAGATTCTACTGTATTTCCTAATTGGTGATTTAACAACTTTTACAACAATATTACACACACATCACAACATCTGCACCAAGAGCAGAGCAGCAAGATCAGCAACACGAACAACTATAGGAATAGCTCCAACAGCAGCAACAGAAAAAGAACAAAAGCAACATAATCATCCAGCACTAGTAACAACAGCAGCAACAACAACAACAACACATATTCAGCAACACAACAACAGCAGCAACAACAAAAGAAGAACAACAACATCATTATCCAGCAATCAAACAACAACAGCAACAAATATCCTGAAACACAACAACAGCAACAACAGATGCCCAACATACCACACAGCAACGTTAACAACAACAACAACAACAACAACAACAACAACAACAACAACAACAACAACAACAACAACAAAAGAAGAAAAGCAACATAATTATCCAGCAGAACAGCAACAACAAAAGAGAAAGAACAGTACCAATAATATTTACCCGGCAATAACAGATACAACAACAAAAAACAGCAACACAGAAACAGCAACAATACTCAGCCATCAGCTCTATCCCACCCCATCAGCAAAACAACAAGCACATCAACTACATAGCAACAAAATGTTGTAAGAGCCAAGGCCAAGAGGAACACCCCATCCCCCCTCCCTCCCCTTTTTTGCTCATGAGTAACCGTCTGAACTATAACAGACACGATAGATTTAAAGTACGCATGACACGTCGATTCGTTCGGATATGCCCTATTTTAATTACGCGAGATTTCAGCTTTCAAATACTGAGACTTAACTTAACCTTTACCCACCCCTACTTAACAAACTCAAGGGCACTCATTTGACATATAGCTAGCTGACAAACGAACCTTTCTCTCCGATTCGCAACGATTTATTATTAATTTAGCGACCGCGCCGGCTCTTTCTCATAACCGTGTTTATTTTTATGTCAAACATTTATCCTCTTTCACATTTCTATCATTCATTCTTTTCTTTCTTTCTTTCCCATCTCTTTTCGAAAGAAGCCTTCCATTTTTTTTATGAAACCTGCGCGGGACTGGTGCTGCTACTTCCGTTCTGAGCGTAAAAGGAAGACATATTTTCGCACCAAGGAGACAGCGACCGTCGCTTCAAGCGGGGACAAAAGGGCCGAGGGTTCAAATCACCCCGAGAGCAAACATGACATAGGGTAAACTGATATCCCAGTGAACACCACTCGGAAAGTGAGCGCTTTTTATCGTCTGCTCTCTGACCAAACACAGAGCTAGCCGAGCAATTTACGATCTTCACTACCAGGTTTTTCTTTCTTTTTTATTTATTCTTTCTGTTCTTTCATACACCGGCCGCTATGGTTAGTTCAAACAAGCCTGTTCGCTTCAGCCCCGACGCCCGTTGGTGTAATGTTTGCCTGTTTGTCTGCATCTTTTTCTTTGTACGTCCGTCAATCCATCTGTGTGTCTTTCTCTAACTGTGAAAGCTGCCTGCGTCCCTAACTCGAAAAAAAAGAAAAGATTATATTAATACAATTCCCCAAGTTTGCGTGAACTCTGAGCAATGGTGTCTATTCGAAAACCTGTTATACAACGACTTCTCCCTTCTCACCCC